ATTTAAAAATGCTAACAGACTCAGGAAATTCTCTAAATGTAGGAAATAGGGCCAATTACAAACTACTTCTGGCTTTCCTGCAAATGACCCAGTGTTTCATGAGTAAATAAGTCATGCCTAAGCCTTTATTCAGTAGGGCCTTTATGATCACCAGGAAGATGGTGCCAAGTTCTGTATTGAAATAATTGTCAAGAAGTTAATAAAGCAATTTTTTTTCGTTTCATTCCAACTACATGAACCAAGCCAAAAAAAAAAAAAAAAAAAAGTAAACCAAAAAATACTAAGGTCCTCACACTTACTATATCATACATTTCACTACTTTCTAAAGCTAGAACCATTTAGCATATAGATGCAGTGATTTGTAATATGTTCTCAGTTCAGATGCTGAGCCTCAGGCCAGTATTGAAAAATGCCAACCAAACTTGCATTTTCCCCCCTTTTTTCTTAAGTCCTCAACTTTGTGAACTAAATATTGGTAACCAATGGAACATATTAAAACATAACTATTCTTTATCTTGACATTTGCTACTACTTGGTACTGTCATTTTAGATTGGGGTTATGCTGGAGTATAAAAATAGTTACTATTTTAAAGTAGCATTCGGTTTGTCAGGCTGGAGCCATGGAAGTATGATATCCAATCTTTTTCCCCCATTAGGCTAGCACATCTAAATCCTGACAGAACATACTTGCTTGTATCACAGGTATCTTCAGTAAGCACTTGTTGGTGCTTCTCTTGTTCATTAATATTCTGTATTCTAACCATCATTTCATCATCATGTATAAAACACAAATACAGAAAATATTAAGAAGGAAAAATTGAAAGACGCCTGCGACGACCCATTTTCTTAGTTCATGTTGTTAGCCTGTACTTTCCTAGGCAAGCATACTTGAAGCCAACATTCTGATCGCATCATAATGCGGATCATAAACTTGACTGATGAGCATTTACTTCTGAGTAAAAGCTGGCCACTAAGCCCTCAGGCAGAGTACCAAATCCTCACCCATGGCCACTTTCTCAGAAAAACGAGGTCTATTCAGCAAGGCTTCACAGGACCGGGTACTCATCCATCTCTTTCAGAATCTACGACCACACCCCTTCCCTGAACCCAATCTTGTTCTTTACAGGGTGGGACAGAATAGTGGAAAAAGCACGGAGGATCTGTGTTTGAATCTCAGCTCTGTCACTCATATGGGCAAATGACTTGAATTTTTCGAGGTTCAGTTCTTTGGTGGTAAATAAAGAATGGAATCCATTTGGAAGATGTGAGTACTACCATGTGCCTAAGATGCCTGTTGCAATGCCTAGAAATTAGTGGGTGTTCAATGACGTTAGCTGCCATTGATGGTGACAAGTGATTAGCTGAGTTAGAGTCCCAGTGAAGGACAGGCATTCCACTGAACTCGCTTCCACTGCCAGACTAGAAACAGAGGAAACATCTAGCACGAGTCAAGTTTTACACATCAGCTTTCCATTTTCCCCATTCTCGTGACTTACTGTTGCTTTTTGGTATTGGAGATCCAATGTAGAGCCTGTTATTTTTAATATCTCAGCCTTCTTGCAGTCTGGTTGACTCCAGCGTTTAACTAAACCCAAAGTCTGGCTAACTCTAGTTCTTTAGGCTCAGTCACTTTCCCTCGTGTTTGTCCTGGTTTACGTCTGTCTCGGGGGTTTGCTCTTGCTGTTCTACAACTCTCAGGGCTTCGGATGACTGATGCGTTCAGAACTCAGCTCAACCACCACAAGAAACAGATGTGTTCTTTACCACTGGCTCACTTTTCTTGTTGCCGTGAGCAAACCACCTAACAAGGATCAGCTTGGGGGAGGAAACCATTATCCAGCTTCAGTTCAAGAGGCTGCACCCTACGACGACAGGGAGAGTGTGGCAGCAGGTACGTGAGGTGGCTTGTCACATTGCAGCTGCAGTCGGGAAGCGGAGAGCAGACAGGAAGTGCGTTGAAGCTATGAAAGCTCAAACTTAGTGACCCACTTCTTCCCACAGACTCCATGTCCTAACGGTTCTGCAGTCTTCTGAAACAGCACCCCCAGTGAGGGACCATTTGTTCAAACACATGAGCCCATGGGGCATAGATCACATTCAAAGCACGCAATCATCTTTATGTATTACTATCCTCTTCCTTAGCCGAACTATTCCGTCTTATCCTGAGTTTTGAGTGTATTTTTCAAGGACAGCTCACAAAAACGGGAAGGGGCTTTAAAAGGTTCCCAGACTGTAGGCAACAAATCGAATGTATTAGATGAGGATATCAGCTTAATGTATTTTCTGGCCTAGCAACTGCTTTTGAAAAATCTAAATCTGATAGTAGTGGATGTCTGTTTTTACCTAAAGGTTCCTGAAAATCTGGAGGTAATTTTTTTACATTCTCTGATGTTCCCCGCGGGAACACTGAGAAGTTTTTAGTTAGTTTGTCATGTATCAAATGATGCTGGTATGATCTGTTAGTTAGTTTTTTACCACCTTAAACATTTTCATCTTTGCTTTACTGTTTCAGGCTTTCTGTCTTTACAGACTTGTGCATTTTTAGAAAATACATGTAGTAGCATTATAATTGCTTCTCACAAAGGAACAGATGCCATTATGTTACTGGGGCCAGGTCCCCAGGTCCAAAGATGGCATAAATGAGACTAACCAGGCAAAGCTGTTATTGGAGCTCAATCCAGATGGGAGATGCAGCTTGGATCGGGTGGTGGCTCCCTGAAAGAGAGGAACAAGGAGATAGATACAAGAGCAGATGCTACCCAAAGTTCCCATCGAGGTCTTTCATGAAAATGAAGGTTTCAGACACAAAGAGGGTCCTGTCCTTGCTGGTCAGCATCTACCTTCAGCTGTAGGTGGCTCACTGGCCAGCTCTGACTTCAGAGCTCTGTCTTCATGGAATGCATGTCAACCATCACTGGACCTCTCGAAGCCCTCCCTGCCTCGTCTGAGGGGAGGAAATCGGTGTGCCTCTTGCTAAAGAAATCCCCCTCACCCAATTATCTCCGAAGCACTCCTGTCTCAAGTAGTTCAGGGTTCAGCCAGAAGAGCAGAACCAACAAGAGGCACAGATTAAGGGATTTACTTCAAGGAACTGGAATTGGTTAACGTGTTATCTTATCTAATAATCTTCTTTAATGTTGCCTAACTGTACTCCTTAGTTATGTCTTAGAAAAATAAAATAAAATAATAAAAAAAAAAACCTCAGCAGCACCTACATTAGTGTTTGACTGAATAACCAGGGTAACCAGGGGCTGTAATGTAGTCTAGGTGACACATAAAATTGACCACTACACCCTTCTTAGGGTTTGGGTGTTGTTAGAATTGCTGAAAACAGTCCCTCCCTTTGAAAATGGGAAGCATCTTAACTCTAGGGTTCACCTTGGAAACTTATATTTACCTCACTCATTTGATTCCCATGTATGCCACCTTGATTCTTGGTAGGAGAAACCGGTGAGCCCCTTGTAGAGACTCCTGAAGCTCTCACCTCACCCTCTACTTGCTCTATAATTGAGTATCCGGGACACCTTTTGGCCTCTCTGGTTCTTGGACTGGCGACAGGTTCTATGACTATGTCCTCACCTGAGGTCCGCCCCGTTCTCCTCACCTCACATATTTCATGATTCTCTTGGCCATGAATTCTCTTGGCCATGGCATTGTTCCACTCTACCCCCACGTTCCCGTTAGACAGTTCTGAATTTCCCAGTCTGCTCTCACCTCTTTCCATGTCTTCCTCCAACCCACCTTATTCTCTACTTCCAGGTCTAGGGTAAGGGAAGGCTCCACCCTTCTTATTTCTTGCACTGGAAACAAGCAAGCCAGGCCAAGTCTTACACGTCACTCTCAGTGTGTAACACGAAGCAGGAATTCTTCAGGATGTACAGAACTAAATGCCAAAGCCACAATCACAAAATCTACCGTACTATTATGATAGCTATTATATCATATTATATATTATTATATTATTATATACTATTTTTTGGTAGAAATTACTTGTCAAAACCAATGATGCATTCTTCACATGCAATCTACAGTCCTACATTCTATTTGTCTTGTGTTCTTTTGTCAAAAACGTTGTGTCCATACTCCATTTCTATCTACCCAAACCACCCGCTTTTTTTTAAAAAAATTTGTAAAGTTTTTATATATTTACTTATTTTATGTATATGAATTTCTTGCCTGCCTGCATGTCCATGTACCACTGGCATGCCTGGTGCCCACAGAGTCCAGAAGAGGACATCAGATGCCCTGGAACTGGAGTTCCAGGTTGCTGTGAGCCACCATGTGGGTGCTGGGAACTGAACTTCGGTCCTCTCTTAGAGCAGCACGTGTTCATGACTGCTGAACCAGCTCTCCAGCCCCAATGCCTGCTTTAAAGCCAACTGCAGATGACACCCTGTCCAGGAATTCCCTTTTCATACCCTTGAGTGGATGTCTCACCTCTGCCTCGCTGGGGCAAGTATCACTCTTGCACATATTATAGTTATTCCTCCTTGGTGCTGTCTTCCACACGCCTCTGGAGTAGAAGCTGGTTTTTTTTTTTTTTTCTTCTCATGCCTCTGTCGCTTTTAGCAATCAACACAGTGCCTTTCCCCAGGTAGTAACGGTTTTCCTCTGAAATGAATGTCGTGGTGTGTTTGGGGCGGAGCCGCACTGTTGAAGCTGTGGTCTGGTCTGCTCAGCTCTCTGCTGCCCGAAGGAAGGTCTCAGTTCCCCTGGAGCAGAGCCTTCCGTCAGCAGTGACAGAGTGCAAGGGGTTAAACCACACGGAACACAGTAGACCTGTTTGTAGTGCCTCTGTGAACACCGCAAGTAAGTCGTATGGTCAAGTCTAAACGTCAAGGGGACAGGGAGATGCACACTGTTTATGGGAGGACCTAAAAGCCTCATGTACAGGAAGCACAGAGAATTACTGTCAATAACTCTGAGAACTACTGGTAATCAGAATGCCCTCTAGTGTTAGCGCAGAGGACACTTCTCTGACATCCCTTTGGACGTGGGTACCAGCCAGGAAAGCAGTTAAGTGTTATTCTCATTCATCTTCGGTCCCGGCATTCAGGAGGTAGCTTGGTGGCATCAGGACAGAGGGGAGGAGAACAAAGCAGTGGCTTTATTCCGTTCTCAAATTCTTCCTGGCTCCGGGGGCTGTGGTGTGCTTTCTCTTTTGTTCTCATGGTCTCCTCCTTGCTCACTCCTGTCGAAAGCTCAGCTATTTCTGGGGGTGGAGAGGACAGAGGAGAAGGGAAGTTTTAATATTTCCTCAAACTTCATCACAGTTGAATCCAACAGTGAAACAAAGTTAATGTCACGCTGTAGAACAGAATATACATGCCTGCAAGAAAAGAATGCATTATTCTGACACATGATTGAGGTCTTTCTTTCTTTCTTTCCTTCTTTCTTCCTTTCTTTCTTTCTTTCTTTCTTTCTTTCTTTCTTTCTTTCTTTCTTTCTTTCTTTCTTTCTTTCTTTCCTTCCTTCCTTCCTTCCTTCCTTCCTTCTTTCTTTCTTTCTTTCCTTCTTTTCTTTCTTTTTTTCTTTCTTTCTTCCTTCCTTTCTTTTTCTTCTTGTTTTTTGTTTGTTTGTTTGTTAGTTTGTTTTTTTAAAACAGAGTTTCTCTGTGTAGTTTTGGAGTCTGTCCTGGAGCTCACTTGGTAGCCCAGGCTCGCCTGGAACTCACAGAGATCTGCCTGCCCCTGCCTCCCGAGTGCTGGGATTAAAGGCGCACCACCACTGCCCGGCGATTGAGGTATTTCTTAACCTCACCAACCTAGTGGTCAGAAGTTATCTTTATTCAGTGTGACCTCTAGAGTCTTAGGGTGCTATTGCGGTTGTGCTCAGGGACAAAGCCTGTTTCTGGGGTCTTGCTACAAGAAATCGCTGTTCTTAGGGGCACACACATCCTCAGGACTCTTCTCATAACCGTTCATTTTGGAGTACAAAATATGCAGTCCTCAATTTTTCCAAACTGACCCTGAGGCCACGCTGTAATATTAATAGGTACTCAAGGGCTGGGAAGTCAAGTTACTTGTTACTTCTTACATGGAGCACTGGTTGTTGTTTTTAATAGGTATGAAATCCCCACGACAACTCTTTAGTTCAGTCCCCCCACACACACACTATTTGCAGATAAACAAACCAAAGGTCACTACAGGAATTCCAGTCAAGGCCTGTTTGACCCCAACAACCCAGTATTTTTTTCCATCTTAACTGTGCAGCGTGAATGAAAAGTCACATGTCAGCATTATCTTTAATTTAATGCATGGTGCTGGGGAAATGGCCCAGGAGATAAAGTGCTTGTGGGCAAGCATACGGGCCAGAGTTCAGATCCCCAGAACCCATGTAAATGCCAGGCAAGTGTAACCCCAGTTTGGGGAAGGTGGAGATTATTTAACTACATTTCTTATTTTATTTAAGCACATTCTGGAAAGTATTTACCCCATAGTTCATATTTTTAACTTATATAAAACAAGTCTACATATTTTCATTTGTGTGTGTTTTAAATAATTGCTGACTCCATTAAACCCAAGCACGCCAATATTTTATTTTATTTCTACATAAGTCATTATAAGTATTTTGGCTTCAGTTAACATGCACTGTATGTATATACTATATCTTTACTACCTCTGATTTCTCAGCCAGAAATATGGAAGCATTGTCCTCATTTTGAGACTTGGTTAAGAGAAATGCTGTTTCTCCTTTTATATCAGAAAGCTGACTTGAGCCCATTTTGGAGTGAGAAGCAATTTCTATCATCAAAGATTGTTTATGTAAGTTTGAAGTGACTCATTTAATGTAAGGCTTGTTCCAGCGTGTCCTTACAGATAACCTGAACCTCAAAGTTGTTACCTGTGACCCATGTGATTTGGATACCTGAAACAATACCTTATGTAATAGGAAGACTTGCTCTCACTGTGCAGGGTATAAATATAGTTGTATTTCTTTATTTTTTCCAGTCAGTCCTTTGTAAGCAAATTTTCCTTAATTCCAAGAACGAGAGTATGTCAAAGTCTGTGTCCCTGCCTGAATAGCTTAAGAGCTCAGGCCAAGGTAAGGCACTTGTGTTTTTCTACAGGGAAGGAGAGAGGAAGGAAGGGAGGAGAGGAGGAGGACAGGTCACAGATAGAAGAACTTTATGTCGTTGTCTCTGGAAGAGAAGAGATCAAAAAATAATTTCAGTTCTCAGCATTGCCACCATCTTCCTTGAAACTCCTGTACATGAGAGTGAATGGGGCCAGAAGCAAACACACAGCCTGAAATGCATGAGAAGACAGACGGGGCCATGTGCATTAGCTTGTGTAGCGATAGAGGCCCAAGAAGCAGAAATAAGGGATGCTGGAGGCCGGGGTGCCGGAGACCCGGGTGCCGGAGGCCAAGGTGCTGGTACAAGCTGTTGGACTGTGTGCTTCTGCTGGTCCTAAGTCTCAAGGGCTCTGAACTTTACCACCAGATCCCTGGGAACACCTCCGTGGGACTGCCTGGCTTACAACCCAAACGGTTCCTGCTGGCACTCTGACCTGGGCCTGTGGCGTTCTGGACTAGTTCTTACTTGTTCATTGCCACAAGTCCTCACTTGTGACCCAGTGTACCTTGTGTACAATAAGTAATCCTTCCGCTGTCTCAGCTCAATAGTAAAACATAATAAAAACTAACTAATTTCAGAAACATCTTACATAGACTATTTTCTAATAAACATTGCAATTTTTTGTAACTAGAGTAACAGTAAAGTAATACTCTTTTTTTAAAGATTGATTTATTTATTATGTGTACAGTGTTCTGTCTGCATGTATGTCTGCACACCAGAAGAGGGCACCAGATCTCATTCTAGATGGTTGTGAACCACCATGTGGTTGCTGGGAATTGAACTTGGGACCTCTGAGAGAGCAGTCAGTGCTCTTAACCTCTGAGCCATCTCTCCAGCCCATAAAGTAATACTATTAGAGAGGGGGAAATTAACAACAGTGTTCCATAAAAGCAAAAGTGTGTGTGTGTGTGTGTGTGTGTGTGTGTGTGTGTGTATTGTGAATGTATGTGTGTGTGTGTATGATGTGTGTATTGTGTATGTCTCTGTGTGTGTATGTCTGTATATGTGTGATATGTGTGTGTGTACGATGTGTATGTTTATGTGTGTATGATGTATGTGTATGTGTATGTATGATGTGTGTGTATGTGTGTGTGTATTGTGAATGTATGTGTGTGTATGATGTGTGTGTATGTCTGTATATGTGTGATGTGTATGTATGTATGATGTGTGTGTATTGTGTATGTATGTGTGTGTATGATGTGTGTGTATGTATGATGTGTGTGTATGTATGATGTGTGTGTATGTATGTGTATTGTGTAGGTTATTGTCTGAGTCTCTTTTGGGTTGCCCTAGTATAAAATCTGAGACTGAGTGACTGGGTGTTTTAGTTTTCTTTCTTTTTGCTGTGATAAAATACCCCAACAAAAGCAACAACAACAACAAAAAGATAGAGATTTTATTTGGCTCACAATTTCAGGTTGTAGTTCATTATTGTGGGAAGGTCAAGCAGCAGGGACTCGGAGCAGCCAGTCACGTCCACAGTTGGGAGCAGAGACTGAATAAATGCAGTCATGCTTACTCAGCTCACTTTCTCTACTCTGACATAGTTCAGGATCCCCTGCCTAGGGAATGGTACCACCTGCAGTGGGCATATCTTACCACCTCAGTTAACTTAACCAAGATATCCCCCTTAGCCTGGTGTGGTGGTGCACATCTTTAATCCCAGGCCTTGGGAAGCAGAGGCAGGAGGATCTACCTAGAGAATTCCAGGTTAGCCAAGGCAAATGGTAAGTCCCTGTCTAAAAAAAAAAAGAAGAAGAAGAAGAAGAAGAAGAAGAAGAAGAAGATAATCCACAACATACATGCCCACAGGATAATCCAATCTAGATATCCCTCATTGAGACTCTTTTTCTCAGGTGCTTTTAGACTGTATTAGAGCTGCAGCAGTGAGATTGTTCTGTGGGTAGAGGTGCTTATATGTAGGCCTAATAACCCGAGTTTACTAACTGGATCCCACAAGGTGGCAGGAGAGAACTGACCCTTCAGAGTCATCCTCCTGCCTCCACATGCTATGGTACAAACAAAAAGCAAACCTGTGTGCCACATCCCCTACCCCCAACACGAATAAATAAATCGTTAAGTAAAATTTATAATGCGATTGTGTCAAGTTGACAACACTAACAATTTACTGGGTAATTGATGGAGCAGAGTGATTTACTTCTTACTGTCATAGAGGCTCAAAAGTTCAAGGGGACAGCTGGCCAGGGCATCCTTGCCTGTTGTGTGGCAGAGGGTGCCATATATTAAAGGAAGTACATGTGAGGGAGAAAAGTCAGGGCAGAGTCACTGTTGTTAGACTAGTCCCCGGGTAACTGACCTGCTCCCTCTGTAATAGCGTTTATCCAGTCCCTTTGTATTGTCTTTATTTTATATGTATGGTTATTTTGCCTGCATGTATGTCTGTGCACCCTGTGTGTGCTTGGTGACTGCAGAGGCCGGAAGAGGATGTCAGCTCCCCGGGAACTGGAGTTACAGACGGCTGTGAGCCACCACGTAGGTACTGGGAATCCGATCTGTATTCTCTGGAAGAGCAGCCAGTGTTCTTACCTCCCGACAATCTCTGCAGCTTCTCTAGTCTGGGCTTGTCTTAGAAGTCTCACTTTTTAATGCCGTAACCATCCTGGCAGGAATGGAGATACTCTGAAGAGATACTTTCTCAAGCCTCTAACCAGAAAGACCATAAACCTTCTGGAAACCACTCGACAGTGTACATGATATACAGAGAAATGGGTCAGGGTGTAGTGCTGACAAAATCCTCGGCTGGATCTCAGGCTCTACCACTTAACAGGTTTGCCTCTGAGTGACCTGTTTAATCCCTCTATCTTTGGTTTTTGCCTCTCTAAGGGTAAATGACTTTTGGGGTCATTCTGAGGACAAATAGAACATTTCTAATGTTTCTAGTTTGTTTCACGGTGTTCGAAACAAAAGAACAATTCCTACAGTTTTGGAAGAAGTAGTTACTTTTCTGTTCATGAGATTGAAAAAAGACTGCAATGTGCCTGAAGATGGTAAGTTTCCTGAGCATCCATTTGCCCTTCCGACAATGAAAGAGCAGTAGCTACAAGCTTAGCCGTGCACGGCCCTTATCTCTGAAGTGGAAAGATGCAGTTCACTACTAGCCAGTAGCATATGAAGGGTAGTGCTACATCGGACCACCCGATCAGGAACTTCAGTTAAATTCCTCTCCCATCCTCACATTCCTCAGCCTCCCTATGATGGATTGCATTGTGTCTCTGCACCCACCAAATTCTCATGGTGAAGTTCAAATCCCCAACTCCTCAAGGTGTGACTTTATTTGGAAATGGGGTCATTGCAGGTGAAAGATGAGATCACTGGGCTGTGTCCCCATCCAGAATGGCGGGTGTCTGGTGTCTCCATAGAAGAGGGGAAGTCTGGACACAAAAACTGGCACACAGAAGGAACAGATGACATACAGACATGCTGGGCTGGCTGTCCCCTTTCTCGTGGTGGTGAGTGAGCTGTGAGCTCATGCCCCATCCTTCCGGTGCTTTGAATTTCAAACACTGCACCACGGCCATGGCGAAGCATTTCCTGGGTCAACCTTCCCAGGAACAACTTCCAACCAGGTTCCCAGGAGCAAGTTTTCTCTGCCTTTTGGCAGCAGTATCCAATACGCTGCAACAGAGATGCCTTGACTGAAGACACCTTACACCGGGAGAGAACCCCTGACCAGAACCTTCCATGTAGAAGACTTCTAACCAGGACCAGCAGTATGCCAGTACGCCACTGGACAGGTTGACTGTTTCCAGCCAACACTGACTGTACACTCATTGTACGTTCTAGAGGACACCACTGTTTTGGACCCTCAGAATCCAACTGTTGCCAACTTCACCTGGAACACCAACCACGCCCGGCTGATGGTGGTGCAGAAAGAATGTACACAATAATGACTACTGTGTGAGCTCTGTCTAACAAAGGGTTAGACAGAAATCCTCTGGGAATCCTGAGTCTCCAGAGCTGTCTGGGAATTTGTTCTTACCCTGTTCAAAAGCAATGTGATGAGCACAAGATCTTTGAATACCTTGTGATTTGAATCTCTCTGTTTTCCCTGATTCTGACCTTAAGACCTATATTTAAAGGTCTCCAGTGGTTTAGTCATTCCTGCCTCGATAATCTCCCCATCTTAATGTCAACTCATCTGTGACCTTAATTATTGCTACAAAGTATCTTCATTGCCACACCTGGATTATGCTTGATCTGTTCCATTCGCCAATGTGCGTCTACCAGGGTATTAAATCTTGGGGTCATCTTAGACATTCTTCAGTTCAGCTGGCTTTCTATTTTAAAGTCCACTTTAGATTTAAGGCTAGTAAGTTTACAACTGGGGAAAGGATGATTTTGCTCCCTCTGTCCAAGAGGCACCTGGTAACATCTGGAGACATCTGAATGACGCCTAGTTTGCAGGGGCCAGAGGTGCTGCTCAAAGGGAAGGACGCGACCTCCCTACAGTGGACACGGACTCAGTTAGCTGCCCTCGTAGAACTCTGAACAGCGTCTCACGTACAAACGGAGTTCTCTGCAAGTGAGTGACTCATCAAAACAAGAACAGAAGGCATTTGTAAGAGAACTCCCTGAACAAAGAATGACCCAGCTCAAGTTGTCAGAACTGTCAGGGTTGGGAAACTCCGTCTTAACATATGAAGACAATTATTAGCGTGCTACGAAACTGTAGATCTAATCTCCTACCTATGAATAAATGTGCAAGTACAGCTGGCAGGATAGGGAAGGAGAGCAGGAAGAAGAGGAGGAAGGGTCAATGCACTAACGAGCAGAGGTGGATTTGCAGTCAAGGGCTACAATAAGAGCAATAAAACTGCCACAAACTACGATGAGAAGAGAGGGAGGAAGGGGGACAGGGACAGCAGGAGGCAAGAGATGGTGCTTCAAATCCACCAACAATTGACAAAGTATTTCATTTGAAATTGTGGAACTAACTCCCTAGAAGAAGTAAAACTTCAAAAAAGCCTCAAAGACATTAATCAAAGAACTAAGTCTCAGAATAAGAAGAACAGAGTACAATAAATTGAGCTGCTCCTCTGTTTAAAAAAAAACAATGGGAAAAATTATAATAAAATGCATAATTTTTAATAAAGTATAAGAAGAATACATTAAAAAAAAGAAGGCCTACAGGTTAACCTGGGTGGCTTGCTCATAGTAACTCATGGTATAGTAACAGTACTTACTTACAACACAATATTGTACATAGTATAAGAATGATAGTATTTTACTAAGCACACATGGTAGTCTAAGAGATTTTTGTCTTTCAGATACCGAATCTTAACTATTTACATTACAATGAAATCCTTGTGCTAACCCTGTTTCTGTAACAAACCAACCTTAAAAGCAGAAAGGTTTCTTTTGGCTCACAGTTTTAGAAGTGGACTCATGATCAGTTGGGCCTCCATTGCCCCTGGGCCTGTGGCAGACAGAATATTATGGTAGAAATACGTGATCAAAGAAGCTGCTTAGTTCCTGGTGATATGAAACAAAGACAAGGACACACCCCCAGGGACCTAAGTTTGTTCATTAGATTCCACATTTCAGATTTTCCACTGCTTCCCAGGAGCACCACAGGCTGAAGAACAAGCCTTCCGTACACAGGCCTTTGAGGACACTTACCAAACCACAGCAACCAGTTTTTACAATATATCTCACATACTGTCATTTGTAGTGACAACAAATCGTATCAAATCCTGGATGATGTGGGTGACAAGTAGAAATAAAATGAAAATATATGATTCAAATGATGAGTTGAAAGGCTCCAAGATCAATGTTTTGGTTTTCATTTTAACTTTTCAACCTGCCTATTATGACTAATTGAGAACATGTGCCTTGTTCTGACTTTGTATCATTGTATGTTATTACAACTTTAAATTTAGTGCTGTTTTCTTTGGCCTTTGGACCTGTACCTTGATGATGCTGAATGATGATGGTGATACAAGATTTAAGAGAAACACAGAGGCGTTTTCCCTCAGGATTGCCTTTTCAAAGGCACGCCAGAGTGGAACTGAAGAATGCTATACTTCTGGATAAAATCTGATGATAGACTCAAAAGACAGACCTGATGAAAAAGATCTTGCAAACCAAAGACTGTAATAGTTTGTAGTTCCCTCTGCTCTGGGAGCATGTGAAAGTGCATCAGATCGAGTCGAGGCCCATTTTGGTCTGTGAAGGTGGCTTTTGTCAACAATCATCACCCACAGTGCCGGTGGCAGAGGGTTTCATGCTATAAACCCGATGTGTCCCCTCACCCTTTGGGAACCAGTGACAGATTTCCTCTCCCACCTCCATGCCCATGTATCTCAGTCCACCATTGGGGCTGCAAGGAGAACTGGTAAGGGTCCAGGAATCTGGACACAGCTTGTCTCTGCCTCTTAATATAAAATGTAGGGTGAGCCATTTGACCTCTCTGAACCTCCACTTTGCTCATCTATAAAGCAGAACTACCAAAAACAAAGCCGCAGTATTGTTGGGGAGCCTAAAGAAACCACAGGCTGCATCAGTTTCTATGAGGGGCACTGGGCAAAGGTTTACCTGGTGATATTTTAACTGGCATCAGGTTCAGCACTTCTTTGTGTCCCGTTTGTTCCTCCAAGTAATCCTAGCAATACTGCTGCCTGGGACTGCCCAAGACACCACGGACATCTGACAAACTGACCCTGTTCTAATGATTGTCATGGCAAATGAGCGTTTACCATGTGTCTAAATTTCTCCATTGTGAATCAGCTCACAACACATGGAGGAGGTGGATTAGGAGGTTTTATTTTTGTTTTTTGTTTTGTTTTTTTTTGTTTTGTTTTTTTTAAATGGCAGCCGGGCGGTGGTGGCGCACGCCTTTGATCCCAGCACTTGGGAGGCAGAGCCAGGCAGATCTCTAAGTTCAAGCCCAGCCTGGTCTACTTGACTAGTTCTGGGTCAGTCAGAGCTACATCAGTGGTTTTCTCAATAAACACACACATCGAGCAGAATCTTTGTTAAGAACAATACAAAATTACCTACCAATCCAGGACCGGTCCTTGTATTTATACAAAATTACCTACCAATCCAGGACCGGTCTCTGTATTTATAATGCTGCTACCACTCTGAGAACTATGACAGAAGAGGGAAGTTTCTGGGCAGTGAGGCAGAGTTTCCTTTTTCAGCTTTAGTATTTACAACATGGTCGTAGTTATTCAAACCTCTAAGCGCCCCTTGGCTTACACTTTCCTACTTAGAAAATGATGCTGCAGAGCCACAAAGGAGTCAAGAAGCATACAAATCCATAGAGGAAGCTTGAGATGATCATGAAGACCAATCACACAAACCTGGAAGGTGAAACACATTCTAACCTTTGCTCTTTAAAAGTCCATGCTATGAAAGAATAGAAATGGGGAAAGAAAAAGCCTGAGAGACTTTTTTTATATTGAAAACACCAAAGTAACATAAAAACGAATGGCGATATGTAAACCTGGACTGAAAAAAATTATATAAAGTCATCTGGAAATAAAAAAAATTGAGTATAGACTATAGGAAATTGCTAACTTTCCGGGTATAAAACTGCTAGTGTAATTATTTAGGAAAATGTGTTTATTCTTAGGTGATACCAAGTGATAATTCTAGAGAGCAATAAGGGCTGAAGTGTTGCTCTGGTTTGAGTGTGTTCCGCAGATATTTATGTGTTGGAACTCGATCCTTAAATCTACATGTTGTTGGCATTTGGAGATGGGCCTTTGGGTGTGGCTGAGGTTAAACGAGGCTGCGTGGGTGCAGGCTCCCTGACGTGCCTAGTGGCATTGTTAGAAAAGGAAAGGATCCGAGTTAGTACACTGGGCTACCTTGCCCCATGTGGTCCTCTGTCACAGTAAGGTACATTGAAAAGTTCCTCCCAGATGCCAACCAGATGCCAGTGCCAAGTTCTTGGACTTTCCCACCTCAGGAACCCGGGCCAAATAAACTTGGAATTTTTAAGAAGTTACAGAATCAGAAATGTTGTTTCAGTAACAGGAAATGGACTAGACAAAAGTCACGTTTGCCACTTTTCAAATGGTGTAGTGGAAAAGCTCTTAGATGTATGTACTGTGCACACACACACAAACGGAAGAGAGAGAGAATATTAACAGTGACTAGTGTAGGTGGCAGGTAAGTACATAATCCTTGTACCATCCTTCAGCTCCCCTGTAGGACTGGAGAACTTAAAAAGTTAGAGCACTTCTATCTATATTATCCCTCTAAGTTTTATATATAAAGATGAATGTTACATATTCAGTTAAGTATAGTATTGGTTACTTGTGCACACTTTTGTTTGTTTTTTGCTTTTTGGTGCCAGGGATTGAACTTACATGCTGCACAAGCGCTTCACCACTCGACTTACATCCTTAGCGGCAATTATTCAAACAAAGCAAAACAACAATGGGTGTCCGTGAGGAAGATTCGGGTGAGAAATTTAGGACCAACTACGGGCCGGTTCACTTGCGGAGTTCTCTCTGTAGGGTCACGCGTCTGTTCTAACGAGGAGCTTTGTGGCCCTGGGTTCCGTGCTTTCTCCGGGTGTGACTCTTTCGGGCCCTCCTGCTGTGCCGCTTCTTATGGCAGGGATTTCCTTTGCCTTCCTTCTTCGCCTCTGAGGCTCTCATCCAACGCTTCAGAGTACGGTTGTGCGGGCTGACACAGATCCTTCTGCGTTTAACATGGAGGCTGCCAAGAAAGGGAAAAAAAATCTTCACAAAAATTACAAATATAAGCCAGGTGGTGGCGGCGCACATCTTTAATCCCAGCACTCGGGAGGCAGAGGCAGGAGGATCTCTTGAGTTGGAGGCCATCCTGGGCTACAGAGCGAGATCCAGGACAGGGACCAAAGCTACACAGAGAAACCCTGTTTCGAAAAGGAGAAACCATAGGAGGCATAACTGTGTGGGAGCTAAAGGAACAGGCAACAACTTCCACGTGGAAGCCATTCCACAGTTTCATGGCCGGCCCAGT